CCTCATGTGCATGTCTCGGAGGTGCTCAGAGCTGCGGAGCAGAAGCCCCTCTGAGCCCGCCGGCGTAATACATCTGAGTACTCCAACCCTCCGAGTGGTGCTTGTTTCTTGACTGGCCTGTCGTTTCCGTGACATTTCGCTTTTAAAAACACAGATGATATTTTAAAAATACTGGGAAGGTTTGTCATGTTTGGTTTTGGTTCGTGTGTGTGTGTGTGTGTGTGTGTGTGTGTGTGTGAGAGTTGTAGGCGTCGCCACCTGCAACTCACCAGCTCCCAGCACTGTTCACCTTCAACTTTAGGCGTTGCCTTAGGCATCAGAACATTCTTCGAAACTAAATAAGAAAACTCAAAAGTAATTTTCATCTGTATAAGCTGCCTGAGCCTGTCAAGAGGAGATGCCAGTGCACGCAGGGATACAGTGGAGTGTCACTGACACTTACACTGCGTGCGATGCTATAACAGGGCGATGGTCCTCAGAACTACAGAGCAACAAACATCAGTCTTTCCTTGTGGGGATACCCCCCCAGGACTTCAGTTCTCAGCACTGTGGGGACTGGCTCTGTGTCTTTTAGGCTCTAGGCTGTTTTTCTCTTCCTCCATTGGGATTTGGGTCTTTACTTCCAATGACATGGGGAAAAAAAGTGAAAGGCTATTTGTCTCCCCAGATAGTGGTAGGGCCCTGACCAGTTGGTCTTCAGGCCCTCCTGCCTGGCTCCTAACGCCCCAGGGAAGATCGCTGCCCTCTTCTGGGAAAGGAATCCTCATTCCTTCCAAGAGGCTCAGACTTCAACCAGCATGCACTTTCAGTGGGTCAGTGCTCAGCAGCAAGTCATCCTCACTGAAGCCCGGCTGCCTTGTGGGGTCAGAAGTGCAGACTCCAAGCTGTTCTCTGAGCAGGCGCTGAGATATGTGAGGACAAACTGTCCTGATGCCCAGTCTGGAGACCCTCACTCCTCGCTGCCCACAGCCCGGGACGCCCATCCCTCTGCAGAGCAGGAAAAGAACACCCAGGAGGGAAGCAGGGGATCCCATGGGCAGAGACGGGAAACGCCCCTGCACGGGGCTGGCGGTGGGGCAGCACCCCACACTGTCCCCCCAGGGGCACCTCCAGGCCCCACCTCTTCCTATTTCATTGTCCTCAGTCATTCTGTCCCCAGTCAATTGTCTCCTTCATTGCCTCCATCCAGCCTACATGAGGCAAATTAAGCAGCGGGGAAGCAAGCTCATCTGTCACGCTGACACCTTCAGCACCGCCACTGCGGGTTTACCCAGCACGCGCGTGCCGACGTTTGGTCTGCAGTCGCCCTTTCACCCACCCGTCTGCCTCCTTCCGCCTGCAAGACCAGAGTTAGGGCAACAGGGTGGAACAGTGATTTTCCACCAAGATTGCCAGATTGCCTACCAAGCACAGACTACAGCTTCTGGACTTCTTTGACTTTTCTCAACAATATATTTGTTGAAATTACAATATTGAAATGTACTTTTCTGTCTGGTGATCTAACAATAAAACACTGTATTTTCTTTGTTTTTTTCCTTGTAATTCGCTTTTATTGTATTTTTATAGAAGTATCCCTTTGCTAGGTTAGGGGAAAAGATGGGGCTTCCCGGCATATAGTTTGAGAAGCACTGGGCTCAAGCCCTTAGGAGAGCAAGGTCACAGGGGAGGGAAACCCAGAGACCCCGACGTGGGCGGGGGCATTGTGGAGCATTCTTAGGAGACTGCAAGGAGATTGTAGACACTGGAAGATCTGTCTGGGGGCAAGTAGGGTGGTAAATAGCAAACATTCTATATTTTTCTTCCAATGAAGGTGGGGCACCCCTGGAGTTGGGGCTGAGCTGTCACCTGGGTAACGATACACTTGTCTTCACCCAGTCATTACTCTTTACTTAAAAAACCTCTTCTGTTTAATTTTTTGGGCACCACTTTATTCCACTGAGAGTTGCAGGCAGCGTATAAAGACAGAAACGATGAATGCCAAATTGGGAACCGGGCAGAGAGGCGGCTTGATGTACAACTCTCATCTCCAGTGCTGACGGCCTACACTATTTGGACCAGCATCCTGGTGAAAACAACATTAAGTGCTGGGTACAATTTTTGAAAAGAATTTTCAAAGTATTGGATAGCTGCTGAGATCATAAGGGATTTCCAGGCCGAAGCTGAAGGGGTTACAGAAACCTGGGAAGGTGAGAGACACAAGAAAAGACTTTAGCCCTGACAACTTTGTCAGTCAGGGAAACTTCGCCTTTGGTTGTCCTGGCTTCTCAGGGAAACAGGGAAAGAAATCAAACCCCAGAGCCCACTGAGTGTGTGCATGTACTGGGGGGCATCTAAGAGGGGACCCCCACACTGGGCGGGGACCACACCCCAAGGATGAGTGCGAACCATAGGAAGACTGGCCTTCTATGGATTTTCAGTCACAGCCACATTATACAGTGTGACTTAATCCAAAAACAAACAAAAGGAAAAACTCAAGCCATGCACTTTATTAAAGATGATTCCAGGCTGGAGCTGGGCGGTAGCAAACACAGCCTCTCCGTGGGGAAGGTACCTTCATTCTAGGTGTCAAATTACTCCTACAAATAGTTTTTGAAGGACAATGAGCTGTATGCAAAAATCGTCAAGCACGCAAGGACAGAGGAACCGTGAGCCAGACCCAGCGGAAACTGTAGACAACAGAGGCAGACCTACGAAGACTTCAGCTGCCAGCTGTAACCGCACATATCACACACATCCTGTAGAATACGCACTAGCAGGTGTAAAGAAAGACAAGCTTGAAAACACCTATGGGGGCAAATGCCGCTGCCCCCTCACTGTACATCCCCTTAGTGAAGGTCCTTTGGAACCTCTTGGGGAACAGAGTCACCAGATGGTGAGTTCTCTGGTGTCATGAAAGAAATTCACTCTGTTAATGCCCCCTTCCCTGGGCTTCTGGTCCCTCCCCAGCACAAGGTCAAGGCAGTCCCACATCTCTGCTACATGATCAGTTGGCCATTTTCAGGAAGGCAGGCACCCCAGCTGTGCGTTAGGATCAGCCTCAGGGGTCCTTGCTGGAATGCTGGTCCCCGAGCCACAAGGGGATGCTCTTATGTCAACCCACCCCCAATCTGTCTTTACACTGTGCCCACATCCGAGGTCCCAGCCCTTTAAGTCCATTCGCACATGGCTTCCCCAGTTTCTGTGGGTCCGCATTTGCCAGAGACTTCAGTTCCTTCCTTGTGTGAGCTATTTTCCTCCAGAGTAGAAACTACACTCCCTGGCGTGTGTGTCCATTGTCCGACCCTGGTCTGACGACATGAGAAGGGGGGGCAGTTCTGAGAGAAGCACGTGGTCTCCTGCAGCAGCAGAATCCCCAGGGAAGAGGAAGGTGCTCCCCTCTTTACAGGGGTCTGCTTCTGACAGTCGGGCAGGGCCAGAGGCACCTTGCCATGAAAAATTCTTAGACTCATCCACCCAAATGTCCCCATCCAGCCTCGGGTTCCTGCTCCTTTCTGCCACTGAGCTTTGAGTGAAGTTTTTTTTTTTTTTATTTCTTTATTTTTCTTTTTCTTTGCTTTCTTAGGGGGTAATTAGGTTTACCTATTTATTCATTTCAATGGAGGTGCTGGGGATTGAACCCAGGACCTAGTGCATGTGCTAAGCATGCGCTCTACCACTGAGCCACACCCTCCCCTCCTGAGTGAAGTATCCAAGGGCCACATCAGTCACACAAGCCAGTACTTCATCCTTTGCTGCAGCTCACCCAGTGCCCCCAGGAGAAGCTGTCGATGTCCTTCCCAGAACCCCTCGGTCCATGTGGTTCACCCGCAGGTGCGGCCGGGGCCGGGTGGGGGCATCTCCCGTCGCTCTAGCAGCCTTCTATCTCAGCCGGCTGGATCTCTCTGCTTCTTCACCTCAGAGCTTCTTTCTCAGGTGCTCATGTCTGGGCGTCCTGGACGTGCTGCGATCTTACACTCACTCTCAAGACTCCCTCGATAAAGAAGCAAGAAGAGCGAGGTCGTAAGAACCCAGGCTCCCGGGGACATTCCACACGGTTGTTCAGAGGGCTCCCGCTAGGGTGCGGCCCAGCCGTCCACGGCGGCACCCACTCCTCTGTACACCTTTAACTGGGTCTTCTTGCTCCTGCCATAGTCTCCCCACCCCCTTGCTCCTGCTTCTGGGATCACCTCTCAAATAAACCGTCTGCATCCAAGCTCTTTTGCTGGAACCAAACCGAGACCCGATAACGGATGAAAGTCGTGGTAACTGTGACTCTGCTGCTGCCGGGAGCTGTCACAGCCGTGCCAACGTCACCTCGCAGCTCAGAGGGACCCTCCAAACCCAGCAGAAGGGTTGGCTTTCCGGGACCACCCCTGGTCCCCACTACCTTGGCCAGGGCTTCCCCACCCCACCAAGAGCAGAGCCCAAGCCAAAGCCCTTCATGCGTGTATGTCCTCAGCACGAGGACTCCAGCAGTGAGGGGCCAGGGAGAGAGGTGTGGCGGGAGGAAGCCACCCCAAGGGCTTGTGCTGAGGGAGTGTGGAGGCTGGTTGTCGGCTGGCTCGGGCTTCGGGAGCCGCCTTATGGAACCGCTGATTGCCAGATCCCTCTGCTCTCTTTCTCTCTCATAACGCTCTCTCCTCTGAAACCTGACTGGTGTGATGTTATGAGAGAAACTCCAGCTTTCTCATGATTTGACAAAGCATATCTTTTACCTTTAAGCTGCTGTGTCTTTATATTGAAAGTGGGTTTCTTGTGGGTAGCATATGGTTGGATCTTGCTTTTTTAAAACCCATCTGTCCATTTCTGCCTCTTATTAGGGGAGTGTGGACCACTGCATTTCACGTGACGACATCCTCATCCGCTGTTCTTTCAGCTGTAGCCTTTGCGGGTCCATTCTGATTGGCTGCCTTTTCCCCTCACGGCTCCATTCTCCTGTTTCCTGTGTGCCTCATACTGTGCGATGGGCAGTCAGACCAGGTGGCGCCTACCTTCTGGGAGCTGGATATTTCTGTATCCCCTAGGTATTCTGGGTCTTCCTTCTGGATGCAGTTCAGTTACTTGAACTAGTCTGGTGCTTTCGGGACTTGCATTTAGGCTTGCTGGGCGGGACCCAGGCAGCACTCGTCCCCGGGGTGGCAAGCGGGCTCCCACTCCCGCTGGCGGGACGGACGCCCGACCGCCCCCACCCTGCGCCTGCCAGGTGCTGCGTCTTCCGGTCCTTTCCCAGCCCCGGCAGCTTCCCCCTGCCTGGTCTCACCGACCACAGGGAGACCCCTGCAGGTCCCTAGAGCTGTCTCTGAGGGTCTGTCCTCTGCCCTGGGCGCTCTGACAGCGTGGCCCCCTGGACCCCACTCAGGAGTCCTGTCCCCCCGCCTCCTGCCCCGGAAAAGCCGCAGGCCGTGCCCCCCCCCAAGGGCTCACCTGGCTGGTTTCCGTTGTCCTTCAGCGCCCGATACCCAGTGTCTTGAGGGCTGTTTTCCTTACCCTTTCGTCAGGTTTTGTTTTCAGTTGTTTAGGTCAGAAAATAAACCGGTCCTGATTGTTCCATCTTGACTAGACACGGAAGTCCTCCTGAATCTTTTTATTTTTATTTATTTTTAGTTTTTCTTCCAGTCTCCTTGAGACATAATTGACACAGAGTGCTCTACAAGTTTACAGTGTACAGCGCACTGATTTGACTTAACATACATCATGAAATGATTATCACAATCAGTTTAGAACATCCATCATCTCATATTGATGCAAAATCAGGGAAATGGAAAAGTTTGTTCTTGTGATGAGAACTGTCACGATTTACTCTTAGCTACTTTCATGTATGACATGCAGCATGTTCATTGCATTTATCATGCTGTACGTTACATCCTTACTGCTCATTTCTTCTATAACTGGAAGTTTGTGCCTTTTGACTGCCTTCATCCAATTTTCTCTCCCCCTACCTGCTACCTCTGCGGCAGGGCGGAGAAAGGAGACGCACCCTTCTGGGCCCTAGGGGAGGACTGGGGTCCTGGGGCGACTCCCTCCCCTAACCCGACAGATGGGCTCCAGTGGGACCCCGGCAGGGGATGCACGAGGAGCTGGGACTTGGGGCTGCGACGCCTGGTCCCGTTCCCCCTCCAGGCTGGATGTCCCGGAACCAGCTCCTTGTTCCAGCCAGGCTCCCTCCAGGCGAGGCAGCTGCTTTGACAGGTCTTGTCTGAGAAGAAGAACTCAAGCGAGACGGGTCCAGTGGGGACAGCAGTGGCGAGTCTCCGTCGATGCCGGGTGCTCACTGTCCACAGGCAGGCTGTCGGGAAGGGAGCTCAGGAGCCACCCGCAGCCCCCCAGTGGGAGCTGGCGCCATGAGGGTGGACTGGAACCGGACCAGGCTGAGGCACGAGGTCAGTCATTGTCTCTGACCTCGGTAACGTCGTATTCTGCTGAAAGCCAGTTATTTAGTATCATATTTTTCTCATATCTCTCACCTATTTTTTGTTTTTAAAACATGACTTTGCGGGTTTTTGTTTGTTTGTTTTGGGGGGGAGGTAATGAGGTTTGTTTATTTATTTAATTCTTTAAATGGCGGTGCGGGGGATTGAACCCAGGACCTCGTGCATGCTAAGCACGTGCGACCACTGAGCTGTCTCCTCCCCCTGTCTTACGTCTCCGATCTGGTAATCCTGCTGCCTGGGAATTAGACTGAGCTGGCTCTGGCTTGCGGCAACTTGTCCTCTTACCTGTTCTGAGACTTTGGACGATGAGCTTTATCCAAGGGGATCACGGGAGACCCCGGCTGAAGGTACATCCTTCCAGAGAAGTTGCCTTGTATTGCTTCTGGGATCTTTAAGGAACTAGCAGCCTGGACCCCTTAATTTCTCAGCATGCTGTTTCCAGGACCTCAAAAGGATGTTCAGTTTGAATCCCCCACCCGCTGTCCTGGTCCCAACTCCTCCCAGGCCTGGGCCCTTGTTACAAACCTTAGGGAAGATCTTTTATTTTTCGTCCTAGAAGAGCCCTGGAGAGGAAAATTTCTTTCTCCTCTCCTGTTGCTGATGGTTTGAAAATGTTTGAATTCATTCATTCACTAAAGAGGTGAGCCTTCTAGGCTGCACACTTTGTGTGGGAGTCTCAGTTCCAACTGGGAACTTTCTAAAGGCTCACCATCTTGTCTGTCATTGACGCCCGGAGCTCTTGGTTACCAAGACTGCAAATTCCCCAGGGCGGGGTGGGGGTGGGGTGGCTTTCCCGCTTTGGTTTTCAGCGACTTCTTTGTTTGGGGCAGTTCCTCTTCCCCATTGTCGCAACTCCGCAGTGAAGGATTTCACAATAGTTCACTCAGAATTGCTGGTCTCAGCAGATTTTTCCGCCAGCCATCTGAACTACTTCACTGCAGAAGAGGGACTGTCCACTCCTGCTTTGCACTGGCTGTGTCCACATTGTTTTCTCCAGTCAGCAGACTGCCCAGGATGTTTGCAGTAGTCCCAGTGGTCATCACAGGCCTCCTCTGTTTGCTACTCCCGGGAGGTTCATACAGTTGTTCCCCACAGATGCCAGCAGCAGCTGCTTCCTTCCCGGGAATGCTGGCCCTCTCTGGGCCTAGTGCTACTGAGACCCCGGCTCCTCCCAGCGGGGTGGAGGCTCGGAGGGCAGAGGGATTCTCTCTGGGCCCAAGGCCAAAGGCTCAGAGACGTGAAGGGCTCCCAGGCAGCACAGACTCACATAAAAGACCAGGGCAGGCCAGGAGTTTGGGAAATGGGCACCTGGAACATGGCGTGAGTTTTACCACCTGAAATTCTCTGCCGTGAGTTTCCAGGGGCTGCTCCCCCTGGGCGTGGCCTGTAGAGCTGCCGAGTTGCCCACCACTGGGCAGGTGAGTCCAGATGTGGGGTTTAGGGTTAGGAAAGTCACTGGTGCAACCTGCTCAAGTCATCTGCTCTGACCCAGACATCACCTGTGACAAGATGATAATTTTATATACATGTTCTTTTATATATGTACACATACATATACATGTTATTGAGTCCCCTTTGTCATACCCCTCAGGTGTCTGGGTTGGTCTTGGGCAAGAATAATGAGATGTCCCTCACTGGGCTCCTTCACATCCTACAGTAACACCATCTTATTCTATTACGCTATACAGCCTTTTGGGTGCAAACAGCCTCAACAAGCAATTAGCAAATTAATTTCATGAGTATACTGAGAAAATAGTATACCAGGATAAATTGGGGTTCAGCTCAGAAAAGCAAGGATTTACTCAACCATTCAACAAATATGGTCAGTTTTGCCACGACGTATCATAAGCATTCCTCAAATTCAAGGTGCCATGCATAACTGCACAATAAAAACCACAGGGCTTACGGGGGAAATGGGGTTGGGGCAGGACACTCAAAATACTTCATCAGTGATACATTGTTTAAAAAGATAAAAACCTGGTAAAAAAAATAGGTTCGCACAATTGTATATGTTAAATTGTTTTTTAAAAATACGTAGACACTACAAGAAATACGGTACTTTCTCTGCAAAGGCCTGAAGTTCGCTTGTAGAAGTTGCCATCGGAAAGGTTGCAGCTCATGAGATATTGTCAGGTGGTTAGAAAGCCGGAACAGCGGTGTGGATGGGGGTGGCTCAGAACAGAGGTTACCAGGTAGCCGGGAGACTTTTGGGGTGCGTGTGTGCGCGTGAAACACACCTCAGTTCAGCTGGTGGAGTTTTCTGTGTTCACCTAGTATTTCTCATAAACAAAATCACACAAAAGGCAGAACTCACGTTATGCTCGAATTGTTCAATTACCTTGGAACAAACTCACATGTTCAAAGGGAGCGTCACGGCAGAGCTGCAGAGGTGGTGGTCCCTGCCGTGTGGGAGGCGCTCTCCTGGTCATCGAAGACAGCACGTACTGTCTCTGCCCTCCTGGGAGTTGCGCTGCGATGAGGGAAGCAGCCACCAACAAACAATCTCATATGTTATAATTTGCGTATCGCCCCCTGTTCATACGTTGAGACCTGACCCTCCACGGTGCTGGTGTTTGGAGGCGGGGCCTTTCGGAGGTGATTAGGTACTGGGAGTGGAGCCCCACGGATGGGATTAGTGTTCTTATAAAAGAGACCGCACAGAGCCTCCTGTCCCTTCCATCACGTGAGCACACAGTGAGAAGATAACTGTGTACGAACCAGGAAGCGTCTCCCACCAGATGCCGAGTCTGCTGGCGCCTTGATCTTAGCCTCCCCAGCCTCCAGAAGTGTGAGATCCATGCATTTTTGTTTAAGTCACCCACAGTAGCCCAAACGAACCAAGGCGCCAGGACAGTAAGTGATGGGCTCCTGGTGGATGGAATCACATCCCCCCAAATTCTTGTGTTGAAGTCCTAGCCCTCTTACAGGTTGATGTGTTGGTTTCTCATTTCTGCCGTTAACAAAGCCCCGCAGACTGGGCGGCTTACACAGAAATTTAGCATCTCACAGTCTGGCGGCCAGAAGTCTGAGATAAAAATGTGTTGGCAGGGGTCATTCCTTCTGTGGGTTGTGAGGAAGAATTCATTCCATGCCTCTCCCTTAGTTTCTAGTGATTTGCCAACAACCTGTGTCATTCTTTGGTTTGTACAAACACCACCCCAATCTCTGCCTTCCTCTTCATGGGGCGTTCTCCCTGCGTGTGTGTGTGTCTGTGTCCAAATCGCCCCTTTTGTCAGGGCACTAGTTATACTGGGTTAGGGCTCACCCTATGCCAGTGGGACTTCATCTGAACTGATTACTTCTGCCGTGTCTCTATTTACAAATAAGGTCACATTCTTAGGTACTGAAGGCTAGGAATTCAACACATGAACTTGTTCCACCTATAACAGCTGGTAAGGGAAGATCCCTTTAAGTAAGGGACACTTGAGCAAGGGATTTGAATAAAATGAGGGAGTGAGCCACGCAGACTTCTGAGGTAACTGCATTCCCGGAGGAGGGGACAACCGATGGGAAGGTCCTGAGGTGGAAAACAGACTGGCCTGCCCAAGGAACAGGCCATTGTGTCTAGAAGGTGGCAAGGAGAAGAGTGGTAAGAGATCAAGTGAGAAACAAAATGATTCATCAATAGGAAATCCATTGACTAACCATCATCCAATTAACAAGATTAAAGGAGAAAAACCTTATGAATTTATCAGAGATCAAAAAATAAAACAAAACAGTGCTCTCTTTGGCAGCACACATACTAAAATTGGAACAAAACAAAACAAAACCCAACCACCCCAAAACAAAACAAAACAAACAAACAAAAAACCCAGGAGACGTTCCCAATAAAAACCCTCACGTATAAGCAGACAAAAACTTCCTCTTGTAATAAAGAATATTGGTTAGAGAACAAAAGTATACGTCGTATTAGTGGTGTGCTATAAAGACATTTCTGTTAGTCAGAAGAGAGGGGTGCCAGCTATTACCTCTTTGGTTCAATAGTGTTAATTTTGGAGAGTCCAGTTAAAGCAATAAGACAAGAAAAGGAAATAAGCAGTATACTCATCACTGTTTGCAGAGAAATGCTCCTACATGTCCCCTCTCCCCAAATGAGGTGTTTTCAAACTATTAGAACTGAGTCAGTCATGTTTTAAGCCCTAAACTCAGATACTCTGGGTCCACATTTTTGCTCTAGTCATGGCTACAGCAACTGGCTGGTCGTGCAGATACAGCCTGGCTGCCACTTGTCTCAGCTGCGCTGCACGCCCCTTGCTCTCTACTGCTGCTGCTTGGGATGCTTCTGGAGCTCACTCAGCCTGCCTGGCACATGGGCACGCCTGGAAGAGTGTGGGAGTTTGCAGGGCAACCCCGGAACGATGAGGGATGGGTGCCAGTGGACACAGGCTCCCCTCACTTCTGTGCATCTGGGTACAAGGCTGATGTTCATTCCACACTGTTCCTCAAGAGTACTCTCACAGCAGTGGTAACTCAGGAATGCACCTGGCATGGGATTCCTCCCCCCTTCCCTGCTTCTCTCTTCCAGGACCCCCATTCGTGATCCCTGTAATCACTTCCAAATATCAACAATTTGCCCACAAGACCATGTCCCATGTCATAAGCTCTGTTTTTAACGTCATAATGACCCACCAAGTGTGGATGAGGATGCGGTACAGGTGGAAGCTGAAGGATGAGCTTATATGGTAGCGGTGGCACTTTAATTGCATTGAGGCAGTGGTAATAAGAAGGATGGTGGGGTTGGCTGACTTTTGTTAATGGCTTTAAAAGCCTCAAATAATACTGACAGGCTCAAACCAGCCAACTATCAATTTAAAGCACTCTGTGAATGTCCGGCAGCCTCATGGCAACCTGAAGAAACCCTTATCTCCTGCAGGCACAGGGCATTTTATGATGAAATTCCTACTCAGGGTTATTCACATCTCTGAATAATGTTGGTTTTATTTCTCTCTTCAGCCATGTTTAATCTCTTGTTTAACCTATCAATGGGTGTTTATGTTAATTCAAATAGTACATTATTATAGTCTACATTTCTAGAAGATTTTTTTTTCTTTTTGGGGGGAGGAGAATCTCTTTCAATTACTTGACCATAGTTTATAGTCTCTTGTTCCTTGCTCATATTTTTAAGCCTTTCTTTTATTTCTTTAAATACATTCAACTTAATTATATTGTATGTCTGATTAACGCCAATAGCTGCAGTTTTCTGGATGTGATTTTATCGTCTGGTGTTTCCAGAGTGATTTTTTTTCCTTGTGTGTTTTGTGACTTTTTTTGACAGTGAGTTGCCTATGTTCCCTCAAAAGTTATCTGTGGGAAGTTGTTGGCTTGAACTTGCATTTCTCTAGAGAATATTTGCAATTACCCTTTTTAAAAAATTGATTTTTAGTTTTGCTATTTTGCAGTTAGAGAATAAGTTTTGTAAGATTTCTCTATTTAGAAATCAAGTTGTCTGTTGCATGAAATATATGATTAATACTATACATTAAGGATGTTCTGTGCACTGTTTATAGAAAGGCATGTTCTGTGGATGTATCCTATTGTCACTTAAACTTCATCTCTGTGTCTAGGCTGTCAGGGAGGCAGGAAATTCCAGCTCAGTCAGTATTGGGGTCCTGCCCCCTCCAGGGCTGCCGCAGAATGAGGGAGGTTCAGTGGTACTGAGACAAGAGGGAAGGGGGCAGGGCACAGCCATTCAATTAACACCAAAATTGTGGAAGATTTAACTCCTAGTTGGTCTTGAGGCTCAAGATGGTGGGAGATTTGACTTCCAGTAGAACTTGAGCTCCATTATATGCTCATTGTAATATATTAGCATGGTGAATAACATGCCCGCAGGCACCATGACAGTCCCAAGGCTAGCCACAAAAGGTCAAAGTAGACAGTGGCCCAATTCCTGGGAATCCCAGCCCCTTCCCCAGGGCAGTTGGAATAATCCTCCCACTTGTAGGCGTGGGAAGCTACCGAGCCGATAAAAGCTGGCGACACCACACCTCGTGGGCTCTCTTGCTCCCTCGTCTTCGGAGACAGCCCACACTCTGCCTATGGAGTGTGTACCTACTTTTACTTTAACCTGAGCACCCAACCCCCACACCTCGTGGCCTTTCTCTCACCTTCTGAAACAGCCTACAGTCTATGCAGTATGTATATCTCTAAATAAATCTACTTTTACTCAACTGTGGCTCACTCTTGAATTCTTTCCTGCGTGAAGCCAAGGACCCACACTTGGTGGGGCACGCCCCAAGGGCTCGACTGAGGCCTGGGACACGTCCCTCCTTACGCCGCACACCGTTTTCCTGCATCCGTGTCCCAGACATCATCAGGGCAGTATCTCTCCTTCCAACCCAGGCCTGCAGGTCCCCGGAAGTTCTAGGCACCTGCTAGTGCCTAAACAGTGAGTGGAGTTTACTCTAGTGGACCATCCCAGGACCTTCTGTCCAGCCCCGACTCTCCCACTACACAGCCTTACTCCTCTGAAACCAAGGAGCAGCAAGAAGGTCATGTGCCTGGAGAGGAGAAGCCTGAGGGACACTGGGACGGAGGAGTCAGACGGAGCCCCTTTATAAACAGGGTGACCCCAAAGCTGTCCCCAGGGCTCTCCTAGTTCTGGCCTGCTGCTGGGTGCATGGGTACACGATTTCATTGTCCGTGTTGGGACAGTGAGTTAGGTGGTCACTCTAGTCTTAGGTAAACAAGACACAACAGAAGGTCAGGGAGGGTTTAAGTAGGGGAGTGAAAGGTGATTTACACTTTACCAAGCTTCCCTGCACTCTGCTCAGTGACAAGAGGGGGCTGGAGGGGCCCCAAGTGAGGCAGGGGCATGAGAGACCCCAGGCACAGAATGGGTACCAGGAGGGAGTAACTTGGGACCTTGGGCCTGAGGCTCCCTCACAAGTTCCCCCACCTCGGGGGTCCTCCTTGCCTGGAAAGGGGCCTCAGCTGCGGAGCCCGGCCAGGCCTGACCTTAAGTGAGGCCAGCCTGGCTTCTGGCCACTAGACTGGGTCTGAAATGGTGGAGAAATCCTCCTAGTTCCCGGTTGACGTGGAAGGGATCAGGTTACCTTCGGGTGCCGCAGACAGAAGGCTCTCTCCTAGGACGGGGGAGCGGGGAGCAGGGACTGATGGAGGGGCCCCAGCTGGCCGTCGGTGGGGTGCGGGGGCGGGGTGGGCGGCAGGAAGCAGGGCCTGGCAGCTCCGGGACCTATCGGAGAGGGAGGCCTGGGACGTGGAGATGGTGGGTAAGGCCGGCGCCAGAC